GAAACATTGAGATGAATTATATTATTTAATTTATTTTTATTTTTAATTTTTTAAAAATAAATATATATAAACATTTTATTTCAATTGTTTATTTAATTAATAGATTTTAAAATGTTTTATTTTATTTTATATTAAATTATTAAATTAAATAAAAATATTACCCTTTACTTTCTTTCATTTTTCTCTATCCAAATGTAACTAATATTAACCTTCCCCTTCCCTTCCCTTCCCTTCCTCCCCTTCCCTCCCCTTTCTTTCCTTTAAAAATATTTTTATTTTATTTTATTTTATATTAAATTATTTAATTAAATAAAAATATTACCTTTTACTTTTCATTTTTCTCTATCCAAATGTAACTAATATTAACCTTCCCCTTCCCTTCCCTTCCCTTCCTCCCCTTCCCTCCCCTTTCTTTCCTTTATTAATTTTTTTTTTGAACAGGACGGAATGTGAGGGGGGAAAAGGAGACTGCACACTGCAATTTTAAACTTTAGTTCAAACCATGAGTTTAAGTGCACCTGACCAAAGCAGTCGAAACTGTTGGTGCTTTTCTTTAGTAATTTTTATCTAGACTTAAAGGTAATACTCAAAATAGTCAATACTGTACCAGTATGCGTACCAGTTTTGTTACTGGAACGGTACGTACTGGATATCGAAATTTTTCGTGTACCGTTTCGGATTTATCGTTATAAATATATATTTTTATAAATTAAATATCAAATTTTAAAATAAAATAAGAGATACTAATATTTAAAACTATGATTTTCTTATAAATTAAAAATAAGTTTAAAATAATTATTTTTAGTCTCTCAACTTTTAATATATGTATATTTTTCATCCATCAACTTTAAATTAAGGGACTAAAAATGTGTATATTTAGATAAATTTAACAAAATAATTGATAGAAAGACTAAAAAGAAATGAAAAATTGACTAAAAAAGTACATAAAAAAATTAAAGGATAAAAATTATATATGACATTAAAGTTGAGGATAAAAATGAAATTTATCCTTTTAAATTTGAATTGAGTTATAGGACTTCTGTGTATTGCAGTTGCAGGTTATGAAAAACCCTTAGCCCAAAACCACGTCGTTTTGGGTTAAGGAATCCTTTTTTTTTTTTTTAATTTGCAGTGTGTGCCGATCGAAATTTTGGTGAACCGGTCGGTACATCGAAATTTCGATGGATACATCAATTTTGACCAAAATAATTGAATTTTGACCAAAATAAAAATTAATGAATAATGATTCAGCAGACGAAAATCGGGACGAAAATGAGAGACGACAAGTGATGCAAGATTTATGTATATAGTGCAATTATCAATTTGACCCTCTTACATCACTTGTTATCCCCTCATTTTTGTCCTGCATTTTCGTCCATTGCATCATTACTCAAAATTAATATTGTACCATTTCAATTAACTTTTAAAATCAGTACACACCAACCGTACCTGCTGGTACGGTACGGTTTTTACTTCTTTTGGTAATACCACATTTTTTGTTCGTCATTACCATTTTAGGGGATTTATCTGACTTCATTTTGTATCTCTGTTTGTTTAAAAAACTTTGCCCCTCTACTGTCAAATCTT